TATTGCATATATTCATATCTATGAAGTGATGTTGGAATCAGACAGAGAGCACATTTCATTCAAGAAAGAAACATTAAAATAATTATAAATAAATAGCACAAAACTATAAAAATGACAGACACAGCAGCCAATGAAGTGTGACAGTCAACAGATATGAAAGCTGGCAGGATCTCATCTGATCACATTTATGGCAAATGATGATAATGGTCAACAATAACAGCAACAACAAACACGAAAACTAGAAAGAAAAATGGATGGATGATGGAGACAGGTGACATATTCAAAGACATATAAACAAATCAGATCATCACATATAGCTGCAATGGACAAGGGATTATCATGGCTGTTTTCTATAGCAAATAAAAAGCCAAGCTGAAGACACATAAAATTGGTGGATGGATAATATGCAAATAGCCAAATTAGATCTAGACAAAAGCAGCATGACATAATTTGTATGCATTACCTATTTCTTTAAAAAGTGGGACTTGTTCATAGATATGCTTGTTATAGACAATTCTCTGAATGATTTACATTTTATTTATACAGATAACAGCTGTTTACAGGACATTTTGAATTTAAGTAACCTTTATCTTCAATTGCAGAATTTTTGGAAAAAATATTTACAATGAAACATTACCATCTCCACACACAAAACTACAATCTATTTATTGAAGATTAAAGTAATCATTTATCTACCAAGTTTTCCTTGTTTATTTAACATTGGTTTGTCACATCTTCAATATTATAGACAATAATAAAACAATTTTTGATTTTACATATTTGTATATCATGGAAAAATTGATTAAATATTCATAAACAACTGCAAATAATTGTTTTTGTTTATTGGTGTCAAGAAATCATTGAAGCTTTCAGATCGTAATTTTAGAGATATCAAGTTACCAAATAGGAACTAATACATATAAAAAGTCTCAAGAGATAAAAATGTGCTAACAAATACTTTTGCTGTATGACATGCTGATTTGGTAGTGAAGATAGGATAAGACCTAAGTAATAATCATGAGATTATGAAAATGAATCCTAAACTTATCACAGAATCAATGAATGTAATGTAAACATGTTAGGATGTAAAAACTTGAGTGCATGTCAAATAAGGTTTACTCATATCATTCTATATAATGATATATTCAAAGAAACAATAATAACAAATTGTAAATGGAGTAAGGAACATTTCCATATTTTGACAATCGTAAAATGCATAAACTCTGTAGTATAGGACATCCAGTCACAAAAATTTCACAAATATTAATATGTAAAGAAATAAACACTGTTCACCAGTTTTGTGGTTCAATATTTTACCAGAGCATCCTCCAATGAGAAATTTAATAAGTTTTGTCACAAGAGTAAAATTTAATAAAAGTATCAGTATGATTTCTCTTGAAAAATATGCATCATTGAAACTTCAAAATCAGCATTAAATATTTAGTTTAGCTTTCCTTTGTATTCATGGATGCACAGAATGCTAACCCAACTGGACATATGAGACATTCAGAGTGCCTGGTCAAATCTATCATATCAATAAACAATCATATGAAAAGCGACAATATTATATATATAATTATCAGTAAGTCCTGCAGAATGACAAAAGGAAGAATTGCAAAAAGTACTAAAAGTTACAACTGTATATAGTTTTAACAGATTAAATCCTACAAAAATTGATTTCTCTGCTATCAGGCACCACTGATTTTTTAAAATCAGATTGGATGAATTAATAGACATGGAAGAATCCTAACTTTGTTAGTGGTGCAATTTGTGATTAATTTTTTTTTTTTTTGCATTGTAATTTTTATCCAACAGAACAAACAAAATTAAATAAAAGCACTATAATTGATATGATGTACAGGCAGTGATTGCAAAGAAATATGACAGTTGATGGTTTAAATAAATTCTTGCTCAACTTAATTATCCTGCTTTACATATAAATCAGGATTTCAGAGACACTTTCATCTGTAGAAGAAAAATAGATTTTAATTAGATTCTGTATTAAATTAATCTTTGCTAAGAAAAAAAAAACAATTTTGTTGCTGTAGATTCAATATATAAAAATTTCCAAGAGAATTACAAAAAGTTTCTTTAGTGTCAAAAATAGAAATGTGGTCTTATTCCATAAGGCTATTTGCATGTTTACATCCTCATACCAGTGTCTACATCTTATTCATTTCAGGAAGTGAAAAGTCAGTGTTAGTCTGTCAGAATACCAATGGATGCAGTGAGGGACCAATGTATGTAACAGTGTTTATTCAAGGCCCACAGATTCCATGGCACAGAAAAACAGTTTCAACAACAATATAACATTGTCATAACATTGAAGGTAAAAAAAGTACAGAGAGTTTCTTTAGATTATGCAAATAATATGGAAACTAACCAAACAGAATCATTTTATAAAATTTTAAACAATATTCCCTTTGAAGTATTTTAAGATTGTATAAACTTTTAAACTCTGTTTTAATCCACTTTTGATTAGCATCAACGCTAAACTTCATGTGATACTAAATAATATTTATTTTTTTTGTTATTTAACATATTTCTTTAGCATAGACATATTTACAGTGATATTGAATTTTGCATAGCATTAGGAAGTTTCAATTCTATTTTAAGAAATAACTTGCATAATATAGTATAACATGCAAATCTGTTTCTGTAAATTGTGAAATATATATTGTATATTAGAAATTTAAACAAGAAAAATGTTTATCAGGAAACCATCAGTGATCATCTACACTTTGTACATTTTTAAAAATTATATAGCACACTATTATCTTTATAGTTAATGTTAATATAAAGTTTAAAAATATTTTGTGCAAACAAAATTAACCTTTTTGCCTTTAGAAGCAAAAGTCAAAATTTTAAAAATTACATTATCTCAAAAGACAGAGGAATTTAAATGAGAACTAATAATTTCTTGGATAAATTTTTTAATTGAAAACTATATGCAGGGTGTCTCAAAAGTTGCTATCTATTTCAGTGAAATTCAATGTTTTTCAAAAAAGCAATATACTTATATAAAGATTTGCATAATTTGCGCATATTTTTGTTTTTATGAAATGTTAATTGGTTTATGTTGATCTTTGTCTAATTCTAAGGTGCACACTGGTAGAATTCGAGATGTAGTTGAGCTTAAAAATCTTATTGCTGATGCAATTCAAAGAATAACTCAAATGCTGGAAAGTGTGTTTCAAGAAACATCTTATCACTCTGAGCTTTGTAGAGACCCTGATGGTTCCCGTGTGGAGCACTAATTCTTTGCAGTATATATCTTGAAATAAATATATTTTTCATAGTTAAACCAGTTTGTTATCATTCCAATTACTTCTCAAAATAGTAAATTTTGAGAGGTCCTGTATATATTTGAAAATTATTAATAACTGTTTCTCAAAAGGTAAGACAGGGTTAAACATTAAAAGATTCTACAGTTTTAGAAATTATGACACAATTTGTAAATATACAGCAAAGAGGAATTTTTCTTTTTTTTTTTTTTAACTTAAACAATATTTTTAAGATTTTAAATCTATGGGTTGTGCTAAAAGTGTTTCATCCATGCCATTGAAGTTGCAAAGTGTCCAGCCAAAGATCTGCTTTGCATGCACTGTGCTAGCCAGGGCCAAGACAGGAGCAAACACCCTGCCCAGTTTCAGTGTCAAACTCAATATCTTGCTAATAGTGATCAAGATAGTGACACATATATACAAATACACACATACATGTCAACAGCATACAGTGACATAGGGTGGTGGTAATAGTAGATGAAGTGGCATCAGGATGACAACAATCACAAACAAGCATATGTAAAACACAGCTACACAAATATGCACACACACCTTTAGGTTATTTTATGTGTAGGTAGAAAGGATTTCATAATTTGAAAAGTGATAATGCCATCAACAGTTCAATGAAGCAGCAAGGAGTGGTAGAGGTGATTCATGACATGATTAGGAAAAAATGAGTTATGTACTTTCAGAAGTAGCAAAAAGGTAGACTTACAAGTTTGACCTTGTCATCAGTCAACTGTTCAGCTCGTTCTTTGCTGCTCTCTAATTGTCTGGCAATATCTGAAAGATTAGTATTATTTTTATTTTGTGGAATAGTTTGGGGAGTTTTGGTCAACACACAGAAATTAAATCTTTGAGGTATAAATAAAAAACCTTGCATATGTCATGTAGAGATTCTTTAAACATGAGCAAAATGTGTAATTACTGGATTGTTTTTCTGAGAAAATAGAAGAAAATTGTTACAAGGATCAAAATATGGAAGACAATAAGTATGAAAATAAAAATAAAGAATATTTATTAGTAATTTCCATACTGTAAATATTATTTTTTTTTTTTACTTTAGACAAACTATTGTTTTTAGTACATCTTAGAGATTGAGTTCAAAGTTAGAATTATTTAATGCTACTCATTAAAATAATTTTAACTTGGAACTCAATCTCTAAATGCTACATGTTTTTTTTTAATTTTTACTAACATTTTACTGGTACAAAATCAAAACTATTACAAATGTATGTTATTTGAGATTGAAAGAAAAAACATTTTTATAAGAAAAACAGATTACTTCAGAATCAATCTTCCGTATTAATAAATATTTCCTTCCTATTACATATTAATTTGTAATGCTTAAAATGTGAGTGTAGCTCAAAAATAGTAGTACCAAGAGTTGATATTTACCTGAAACAGATCCACGGAGTATCTTCACTTCAGAATTGATTGTTTCATTAGCAGAAGAAGTTTTAGCCAATCTTGTAGTAAGCTCTGGAAAAAAAAAAAAAAATAATTGTGGTACATTTGTGTACATTCAATTAAACATTTTTTTTTTTGCTAAAGAAGCATTTTTGAAATTGTTTAATTTTAGGAAGGTAAGTAATTAAAATTATTTTAGTCCAAAATGAAATAAGTATAAGAAAGTATTTTGATTGTTAGTGGGAAAAAGATTGAACTTACCCTCTATTGTCTCCTGCATTTTTTGCTTCTTTGCCTCACTGATTTTTAATTCTTCAAGCTATAGAATAAAAAGACAGCATAAAATTTTGATAAGTGAAAGTAATTCAATATTTCTCAAGTATAATTCAAAATGAAAAAAAAATCCATCGGACATGAAGTTTTAAACTTACCAGTTTTAGTTGAGTTTAATGTTATATAAATGTTACTTAATCAGGAAGAAACACTGGACAAAATATGTTTATAAAAACATTGTCCAGCAGTTTTAAGTCAAAGGAAAAACTGAAAAAATATGCTTGTAGATAATCAATATTTGATTAATAAACAAAAATTGTTATCAACTTTTTTAAAAATGATGAATGGAAATAAATATATACAACAAGAATCCCTCAATTACCGCTGTTAATGTATACATTGGTAACTATAAAAAAAAAAAATCAATTTTTTTAATTACTAGGGTTAAACTGAAGAATGCGTTACCACACTAATTGAGTATTATGTATGTACTAATTGAATTTTGGTATATAAAAGTTTTAGCACACTAATCAAAAAAGGCATTAATTGAATGCACTTTAATCGAGGGATGCTGGTATTTGTTTTTCAGAGTAGCCTTAATCTTGAGGACATTTAATACTATTTAAACTGAAGATCACTAAAATCAGTCACACATATGAACCAAGAATGATATATGCATTATTAGAAAATGGCTATCAAATGTAACAATTTAACATTAAGCTATCCATAAAAAAAATAAGCCTTAAAATAAATTACATAAAAGTTATTAAAAAAATATTAATATTTCCAAAACAGGTAGTAATCCACCTAGTGTAAAAATATTTTGTATCAGACAAGTAATTAAGGGAATAAAAGAGGGTATGTTGTCATGGATTTACATTAAAATATTACTGACTAAACCCAGCTTTGTAAATTTCTGATTGAGTAAAAGTTACTGATGACCAAATAAATATATTCTTCATATTCAATGTCTAACTTCATTTGGAGGTGGGGCATCAAATTCTGTTCAGACATGTAATGAAAAATCAGAAATATATATGATAAAGCACAATTGTATTGTATTGTGTGTGTACAAATATTTCAATCAGAAATTTTTCTTTTCATATAACATTGTAGATTATGAAGTGCTAAATTATATTTACTGTCACAGTGAAATACTATTACTTTTCAAAATTTCCTTTTGAATATTGTAAATCAGTGAGCTATTCTTAATACCATCTATTGGGAAAATGAAGTTGCTATTGCCCATAATACATTGCAATCAAAATTAGTTGTCTAAACAAAAAAAAAAAGAAAAAGAAAAAAGAATTTGAACAAATAACAACCTGTATTTATTCTATAAACATGATTGAACTTAATAATTTCTTGGTCCTTTAATATCTCTCTCTAATTTTCTATTTTTGGTCATCCATACATCATCTTCCTCAGGTAACATAAACAAAGTTATTTTAATGCTTATAATAACTTATTAATGAATTCACATCAGAATCTCTACTGCAAAAAAAAAAAAAAAAGCTAGTGTGATTAAACAACTGGTATACATATAAAAAAAATCACTTATATAAATACTTGTCCATTAGATATAATAGGATATAGTGATTAAACTGAAGCATGAAATATAAAAATAGATATTAACATTTTTGGATGAGTTAATTTGCAAAGGGTATTTTTTATTTTGATAAAAAGTTAATAATCTTTATTAATTTATTACAAAAGAATTGTGCCATAAAAAATATATACATTAAAACAAAATGACTTTCAAGATGTATTTTAAAACAAGCTCAAGTGATATACATACCAAGTACCATAGCCATAAAACATTTTAAAAATAATTAAAACATTATTATAATTATAAAAATTAAACTACATTTTGTGAAGGAAAAATGATTATTCGAAATAAGGATTTAACTGTAAAAAATACCAGTTTAAAATAAATGTCTTTGATAAAAAAGATGAAAAGATTGAACACATGCAATAAGGAGTACAATAATAGTTTTCAAATTTTTTTCAGTTAAGAAAAAAGAAATAATGAACTGATCAAAACATGAATTCAAAACAATTATTTTTAATTATTCTATATGACCATAATTTGATAATTTTATTGATTAAAATACAAATATAAAAATAATTTCAGTGAAATGTTAATAAAATTATACTGTACTATAAAATATTGATTTTAGTTTAATGTAAAATCATCTGCTCTTGTAAATAACAAAGCATTGACCAACAGTGTTTTGAACTTAAGAATGACCTTTAGTTTATACAATCAAGAGCATTCAGCATGGTGTTTAACATCTTGACTTTTGGGAGACTAAGAAAAAATGCTTTGGTTTAAGAGTGGTAGAATAAAAACTGGTGATATTCTTATATTCCTAGAACCTGACTTTAAAGAAAGAAAAGTACTTTATTGTTCACATTATCAGTTTAAACAAGACATTTACAATAATTTACATTTTTGAACAGAACTTTTTTTTTTTTTTTTTTTTTTTAAATGGTTGCATCAACTACCCAAGATTAACAAAACTATTAGAAATATTGTATATATTAAAGTAAAACTGAAAATAAATTTGAATGTAAAACTTGCTTTTTTTGCTGGGGAAGTTAACACCTTTATAAAGATTAAAATAAAATTTATTTTGTGATCTTTATAAAACAAAGAAAAAATCTTGCAATCTGAATACCACTGATGGTCAACTTGATAATTTTGGTTACATATTTGCTATAAATTTGAACATTAAAATAAAATCAAGTTGTTGTTACATAATTTTTTTTCATCTTTTTTTTTTTTTTAAATGATAAAGACAATTGTTTCTGGTATTGTAAAAGTGGTGAAAGTTAGGCATTTAAGAGCAGTTTCCCAGAACCATCAACATTGGTGCAAAATAGCTTCAGTAAGGGGCAGACCAAATTTTCTAAACCATTGCAGAAAAAATATAGTTAGCAGTGCCAAGAGATTTAACTGGCCCTGAGAAAGGCTAGCGGAAGAATGGAAAAATTCTAAGCAGCAGCAAATGTCAAGAATGGAGGGAGGTAGAGACTGATCAAACTGGTTAGTAAGTCAGTAAACAATTTTACACTTTTATGCAAAACAACAAAGATTGAAATAAATATGGCTGATGAAAAATGGAGATTTTGAAATAGAGGATAATTAGAATGATTGCTTTCCATTGAGCAAAAAGAAAGGTTTCAAAACAAAGTTAATATAAATTTAAAGAAAAACAAAGAAATGAAACAACCAGCCCCCACTTAATTCTAACAGGCAATAACTTTTCATGTTTGAGATTTTTTTTCATTTGCTAGTTTCCATTTAACAAAGAAACAAAGTATAGAAAAATTTTGTTACAAGTCAGAAGATACATTGCCAAAAGATGTGGTGTTTCTACTGTTTTAATTACTTAAATAATATGAAGCAGAATTTCAAATAAGTGGATTTAAATGTTACAAATTCAGTATGTTAAAAAAAAATAAATAAATGCAAAACATATGATGAAAAAAACAAAATTATTTTTTCATATTGCCTTTATCAGTTAAAATTTTTATTCACCCAATATTACCTTAAGTTAATATTTGGAAGTTAATCCAAATAAATAAATTTAAATTATTTGAATAGTTCATGAGTGATATTTGTTCTAATCAGATTTTAAAATTACATTTCCTTAATAATCTCCTTTCTAATAAAGTAAATTTTTTTTGGTCAAAAAATTTTGAACTGAAAAAAATTTCGTCCATTTGGAAATAGATTGAGATATGCCATTTATAGATTTTCAAATGTATTTGAAGTATCAGTTATCTAAATTATTTTCAACTAAATAATATTTTATATATATATATATATATATATATATATATATTTTAACAAACAACACAAATATATAAGGTATAAACAGAAAGAACTGTAAGATATATAATCCAGTGTTCTTTTTGATTTTTTTTACCAACAGTGCTCAATGTAAATTTATAGAGAATAAATATTATAAATTAACTGATTTAAAATATGGTTTCTTTCGCTACACAGGAATTACCATGTTTCAAAAACAGAAACTAAAAACTTCAAATTTAATTATATAATTAAATTAAAAGCATTAGTTCTGTTTCATCTTTCAAGCGAATTTTGGAATAACTTATTTTTTTAAATTTACTGAGTTTTAAAAACATACAATTCATAATTTTTTGTTTCCAAGGATACAGAGAAATCCAATCATTTAACATTTAATGGTAGCGTGTACATTTTTATTAACTATTATTGCATGAATTATGTTCGAAAAAGAGGTTAAATCTAGGTAGGGTAGGGGTGCATTTTTCAATGAATTTTGACATTGATTCAATGCATGTCGTCAATGCATGCCGAAAAACATTTACTCGTTGATAAAAAAATATCAACGAGAAAAAGATTTTCAGCATTTTTTTCAGTTAAATTTGTACTTGTATACATAAGGATTCTTTCTAAAAGGGGTGTTTGGGTTAGAATATATTATATTGAACTACAATTTTAATATATTACTTTTACTCTTAATTTCTAATAGACTATATTTCTTTTTAAAACAAATAAATGTAATAGAATTACTTAAGTTATTTAAAAATTATTATTACATATCAAATATGTATATTATCAACTCCCATTTTTTTATTTTTTTAATTATCTTATTTTATTTTTAAATATTATTTATTTTAAAATTTTTTTTTAATGAATAGCAATTTCATTTCTTTGATTCAGTAAATTTTTTTTTTTATAAACTTAGTAATATATAGTTTCTCATGGATGCATTAAAGGACATGGGTCATTTAATGACCTACATATTCTAGCTTTTCTTATTAATTTCCATTTTTCAGTAAGTGTTTTATTGGTTTCTTTTAAGTGCCAGAAATATTCAGATAGGGACGTCTGATTTCAGTATTTATTTATTCTAAATGAACTTTGATGTTGATTGAATCTCTTTTTGAATTTGTTTGTGCAAAATATATAGATTTTATATATTTAATGGATTCTCAATTGATGAGATATTGCATTGATAAACTAATGATTCCGTGTGACATTTTTTAATTAGA